ATTAAATAATAAATTATTATAATAAATTAATTTTTTAATTATAAATTAGGGCTATATATGTCTATATGTTACTAGATTAATGAATAGAGATACTGCTAATATAATACCTTGTTAATATAAGAATTTCTCATAGAACAAATTACCCTTAATTTTTCTATTTATCAATTTATACTAATAAACGAAAAAATTAGTCTTTTCTAAAAAGAAAGAAACGATAATAAATGAAAAAATATCTTTTCTTAAAAAAATAATAAATAAACAAATAAAATTAATCGTTTCTCAAAAGAAAGTAATAATAAAGAATAATCCGAAAACAACTCGTCCCCACAACTGTATTTCTTTATTATTGACTCTTGACTCGTTCCTTCTTTTCCTGCACCAATTCCTTTTCCTTATTCTTTTGGTCTTTTTATTATTCTATCATTTCCTCACCACTTCTCCGATTCTTCTTTGATTTCATGATCTTTTAGTCCTCAGCTACGATGTCATCTTCAATGGAAGCAAAAGGTACGATCTTCCCTCCACTCAATCTTCTGTTTCATTTTTTTCTTCTTCCTGCTTGGTTGCCGAGAAAAAGCTTTTCTGTTAGTTGTAGTAATAGTCTTAGAAATTATCAGTTAAATACCCAACTTTTGTTTGTTGGTACTGGCATGTTGAGTGCCAAACAGATCCTTAGCAACATCCATTCCTCCTAATTCTTGACCAAAGAATTTGGTTTTTAAGTTCGGTTTTGATTTGTTGGTTTTCGATCCCTTTCACCAACAGTCGACGGAACATATATATGATGAAATCTTGGTCTCAAATCATCGATGGGATAATCTACGAAACCAAGCGATTGTTCATTATTTGTTCTCGAAACTTTTTTACAATAAGGGTGCGCAATATCATTTATTGAATCAACTGGTTGTAAAGAACACCATAATGAAGAATGTCTGCTCTAGAAATAGGGTGCGAAGCATAACTTATGTTTGATTTGAGAAAATAAAAAATAAGAAAGGAAGGGATTAGACACAAAAAATAATGATGTATTAGTTTTCTAACACTTTCAAATAAAAAATATTTTAAAATAGAGTGAGTACTAAATTCAATATTTTGTGGAAGTATTGGGATTTCCGTTCGTCTTCAATCCTTTACATTCCTTATGTAATGTTTGTTTTTCCGTGATTGATAGCAATTAGAGTTCCTCAAGTTAAATTGTTAACGTTTTTGTTTCTAATATCTTCCACCTCTAGATGTAGGGAGGGAACCAATCGAATTGAAGAGGGAATTAAAGAACCTTCCGATGGTCATAGCAGTGAAAGGTCATCCAAATGAAGCCGTAAAACTCGCTAAGTACCTCAGATACTCCTTCATTAATCATCAGGATATCGCCGTAAATCTTCCATCCTCCTCTGACAAAAATGCAGCCGCATCTCAACTTGATGATGATTTGTGCTTCAACATTGTCTGTCAAGTTGCCTCCACCCAGCTCAAGATGGAGATCAGGGTCGTCATTAGCGCCCCACTCCATAAGCGAATCCACTTTGATCAGTTGGTGAAGCTGGCACAGTCAGCAGACGCAAGTCTGATGGTAGTCCAGTACCAAACCCTGGACAAGAAGGATGATTTTCCTGTTAGAGACCTTGTCAAGCTCCTGGTGGACACCTCAGAACCCTTTGAAGTTAAGAAACTTGTTAAACAGATGCTGGATGCCAGAGAGCTGCTTAAGTTGACGTGGCATTTTCATGCTTTGAAACTCTATACTGACGGTAAGGATAAACAGAATCAGAATCTCCATTGCAAGCGCTGTCCGGAGGACATTTCCGGTCCCAGTTATCAGTGTGTTGAATGTGATAAGCACAACTTCCATAAATCCTGTGCCGAGTTAGCCAGCAGTTTAGATGGTCTTCGTGAAAATTGCCCCTCATATCTCAAAGGGAATAAGCCTAATTATAAATATTTTTCAGAGCAGCACAGGTGCGAGAGCTGTAAGGTCAGCAACAGTGACTTCTCCGAAGATTGCCATCATTGTCTGTTTCAAACCAACATGAAACTTGGACATCTGCCAATCGTTCTTCGACACAATTCTCATGCACATCCTCTGAGTCTCATCATCATGCCACACGCCCATAATTACAAGTATGCATGCTGTGGCTGTGGTGAGTTAGGTGAGTGTATCAGCTACCGATGTTTCGACTGCAACTTTAATCTTCATATTAGTTGTGTTTTGTTACAGCCTGTTCTTAAGAGCATACGCCACATGCATCCTCTTGCTCTTTACTATGGACTTGGGGAGGATGATCTTGATTATGAAGATTCCCCATGTAATATTTGTAACAATGGCAGAAACCCAGATAACTGGGTTTACGTCTGTGAAGAATGCAAATGGGTAGCTCATATTGCCTGTGCAATATGACAAAATAGAAATGTTTATCTGATTTCTGTCATTTGCAGGTATTATGATTGTAAGTTTACAATATTATAAGACATTGTAACTATATTATTTTCAGTAAGATAAGTGTTTGTGTGCTCTCTTTTTTGGCAACTATAACATGTTTCAGCAGAAACTTTGGGTTAGTTTTCTAATTTCTGTGAAGTAGAGTCCACTTTTGAAGTCCCAACACTTTATTATTTCCAATACCATTGTGTTAACTTTAGTTTTATGTTATAGAAACTGGAATTTCATCATTTCAGTTTTAGTTGATAAAGTTATTTGAGTCTCAATTGTTTATGGATGACGATTGAGTTTTCCAAAGAAAAAGAAAACCAGAAAAGAAGCATCTTGTGTTGTTTGTAGCTAAAGCTTAAGATCACATGGTTCTTGATCTTCAACTTGTAAATTTGCATTAGAAAGCTTGTTTGTTCTTGTTATCTTCAAATCACTCGGTCACTCACATGTGGTAAGAAAGTGGGCTTACAATTAAGAAATTGCTGTCTCTGCAAGGCAAAAATAAAAATGCACTAACGTGCCACTTGTTTTGGCAAAAGTAAAAGGTTTGTGGTGATTCTCACTCCTTTCAAGAGGACGACACATCTATCTTTTACTTAATCAGTGTGCTTTCATCGACTGCATTTTTGGAAGAAGTGTGTGTCACTAAAAACCTTCTATCTCGCTTTGCTTAAAGCGAGAGGCACGGGTGTGAAAAATGGATAGAATTTTGGAGCTAACAAATGATGGCCCAAGAAAATGGATGAGTTAAAATACTAATTTGGTACTTCAATTTTTAAATTTATATTAAATTTATCTTTAAACTTTAAAAAATATCAAAATTATCTTTATCTTCAATTTTTAATGCTAATTTTGTCTTTCCATTAATTAGATGATGATATGACCAACTTTTCCATCCAAAAATTCATTTTTTTTTTTTTTTACTTTGAATATTGTGTGGAAATGAGATAGAAATTCTAACAGTTATGTGGCAAGTTTTCTTGCTTATTTGACATTCATGTTAGTATATCCATACTTCCAAAATTTTAAAACAAGTATTACGTCCGTCTTGCTTTACAAATTAAAGAAATTAATTTAGAAAATTAAATCATTAATTATGTTTAACTCTAATTAAACTTAAACTAAAAACAAACTTACAATTAAATAACTTTATTAAAAACGATAATATTATAATTAAAATGTCACATAACATTATAAATTTATAATTACGACATATTATTAAATGAATAGATACGTATAATATTACAAGTACATCTCTAAATAATAAAAACTAATTATATAATAACATATCATGATATAATATTATAACTACATTTTTTTATTAAAAAATGGGTTTCTCTATTAACGCACCTTTTTCTTTATACTTCTTGTTGAAAATAAAAAATAATATCTGATTCCAATTTTATCCACAGCACAATTAAAATCAGGCACATATTATTGATATTAAAAATAAAGTTAGCTTTGGCTTTTCCTATGCAAATTAATGTAGAAAAAAATACAATCAATGCATTATTAACTTACAACTACTGTATTCAGGCGCAACTCCTTTTTTCTGATGCAGAAATCTCATCAATAAACCCAAGTTTATGTACACAAAATTTTCACAAATCAAACCCAAAAAAGACTCACATTTATGAAAAAAAAAAAGAAGAAAAAAAGCACCTAGATTTTGACCATAGCAAAAGCCAAAGGAAATTGTAGACAAATCTGTTCATTCAAGATGTTCAAAATGAAGAAATCCGGTTCATACATTAATCATCAACTATAAAATCTCAAACTAAACTCAAGGAAAGTAGTCATGAACACAATCAAAGAGCATGATGTAAGATCAGTTCTGGCTCTATCCGAATGAAGTAAAAATTGAATCAACAAATCATAACCAAACGTCTCTAATTTCCTTTACCATGCATAATTAATGTAAACATTTATTTATACTCTCTTAATGGCCCCAAATCTAAACACCAAAATTTCAGCTGTTCACCTGTTAAAAAAAAAAAAAAAAACTAAAAAGGCAAAATAAGAGACCAGAAATGAGCACAGAAGAACCCAGGCAAGAAAAGTAAAAGGAAATCACCATAGATTAGAAAACCATAAGGAACCCATCAACCCCAAACTGTTCAAACTCAAATCTGAGCAAATACAACACTGGATCCACCTAACCCTGGAAAGCAGTGCAAACGGAGCCAGTGACCAAGTTGTCAAAGTTGTCGCCATAAAGAAGTTTTAAGGCACCAATACATGCCGGGTTAAGAAGATCCAACCCATGAACGAACAACAGATTTTGGTTTTCCATCTCAAATAACCCTATGTGGGATGACAGAGAAAAGATGCCTTGAGAAGGAAGAAGCAGTACAGTGAATTAGAGAGAATTGAATGAAGAAGATGAGAAAAGGGGAGGTAGGTAACAAAGAAGTTTGGAGAAGATGGAGAGGACAATTTTGTAATTTTAAATTTACAATAAGTTTTTATTAATTAAATGCCAATTTTGGAAAGGCAAAACAATGCTAAATCATTAAAAAAGCAAGTTTTCTTTTGCAGGTCATTGATTTTATTGCCACCTAACACTTCTGCAGCAACAAAAATTGGCAAGGAAAATTGAAGTTGAGGAGCCAAAGTGGTATTTTAACCAAAGCAGAAGCCACAATAGAACTGGGTAACCCAGAAGTATAATTTTTATGTAATTTGACTACAAGGGAAAGATATTTTTGGGTATAAATTTTAATTGCAATCTACTTCAAAGAGTATACAACATAATATTAATCAATCTATAAGTTAATGCATCATTGCACTATCAAATCAAACTAAATTGCAAACTATAACAAACCATCTACAAAGTGCAAGACTCAAATATCAAAGTTTCCTACTCTGCCAAGCAGAATACCAAGATTATTCCAAGTTAAAATAAACAAGAAAGATTTGAATTGATTTGCATGACAATATAAAACCTAAAAAATACAAATTCGAAAGAAAAACATGATTACATGAATGTTTAATCATAATCTCAGATACCATCCAAACCAACGGGAAAATATATGTTAGCAGAGCAGAAAACTAGAAATGAAGGAGAATAAAACCTGCTATAATTTCAACACACTCTGAATCAAAAGCCTTTCAAATTGAAGATGACACTCATGTACCTTCGGCGGATAGTGGCTCCCAAAGTTTACCTAAATTCCAACGGAGAGACCCTAACTCCTCCAAAGTGTCTCTCTGAGAGCAAGCAAGGGAAAGAAAGGGACTAAGACTGGATTTGAATTAATTTGACAGAAAAGTATATAAACGTTAAAAAACCCAAAAAAAGCAGTTATACATACCTTTTCTACATTAAGCGTTTTTATGGCGGCATTGAGGCCACAGTTAACTGTTGGGCACCCCTTATCATATCCTGTCCGACATACTTTCTTCAGCAGTGGAATGTCTATCACACCATCAGAGAAAGTCTCCAATTTAGGGCATTCTTTTACAATCAATTCATCCATTTGTGGGAAATTGGAGTAACTCCCTGAGCAGAATCTCTCGAGGCTTGGTAACCATTGGAGTCTAAGAGACTTCAGTTGTTTAAATTCAATTTTGCCCTCCGCTTCTCTGCCCTCAATGATTTCTTTTATATTCTTGCAATCAATTATGGTCATTCTTTTGAGTTGTTCCATGCTGTTAGCTATTGAGGGAGTTACTAAATTTTCTAATTCATGACATCTTGACACCTCCAAAGTCATCAAACTACGAAAAGATACCAAAGAAGATACTAAATTCTTCAATTTGTTGCATTCAAGTAACTTCAGTGTTTTCCGGTTTCCGAGACTTGATCCATGTTGAGCAGATGCAAGATTTTTGTCATCATTAGAGGAAGAGGGTTGGTTGTGGTTTCCACTCATGTTTTCCAAAGTGGAAAATAATCAATGTTTCCAAGTTGGGAAAACTGACCTGCATAGTTCATGCCAACAGTGAAAAAGATGTACAGAGTGCTACTTCATGTAAATTCCACTCATGTTTTCCAAAGTGGAAAATAATCAATGTTTCCAAGTTGGGAAAACTGACCTGCATAGTTCATGCCAACAGTGAAAAAGATGTATAGAGTGCTACTTCATACAAATTCT